CTGGGAACCCTAACTGTCTGTGCCAAAATGTGTGCCATATCTCACAGGATACGTGAAAGCTTTCTGGTGGTGCTAGTGGGAAAAGTCAGGTGATCACCAAAGTCTGTAGGATTCATCCTCTGGGGAAGATGAATATCTGTATGTAATTTCATAATGGTCCATCAGATAGTTGGCCGACCAACCTACACTGCCTTCCCTAAAGCTGGTAGCATGGCTTTAAAAAATACAAAAAACTAAAGGCAGGCAACAACATTAAAGCAATACCTGTGGCAATATACACCATAAACAAAAAAAACACTGAACTACAGTTCAGACTAAACATTTAAAAGACAAAATAATGTGGAGAAAATGCACATAACACACAATAAACAGGCACATATAGAGATCATATAATGAGACAACCAGAGTTATAATAAAAAACAGGGGGTGGCAACGTTTTTGATAGGTGCCATTTTAAAATGTTTTTGTTAATCAGTGAGCCATATCAACATTAGGATTATTATATAGTATAGTATAATTATGACATCACATAAAGCTTTAATTTTCAAACTGATTTGTTCCATCCATTTACAGGACACTGTAATCACATACAGGAGCACTATACAGAAAGAAGGACTGCACAATTAATCTAAATATTACTGAAACAAATCGCAGAGCTGAAATGTTTTGATTAAGGTAAAATATGCAACAAAACATCATTATAATGAAGTACTGTAGTACTGCGGAGGTGCCCTGATTTAAGAATCACATATCTGTGTGGTAGAGACCCCAACAAATGTGTAAACATGATTTTAGTGAAGCAAAAATGATCATTCACACTAATTGTGAATTATATCTGTTCTGCCCTAACAAGAAGGTCGCAAAACTTATGAAAATATCCACATCTGAGTTGAAACCATACATACAGATGCACGAGGTTCTTCTGGTTAAGTGCTACCATCGGCACGCAGGTTGTTAAAGTCTGAAATAAGATATATAAGATGGTGTTCGTGTAATGAACAGATTTTTTTATCTTAAGTGTATATATGCTCAGTGACACAGACCACATGAACATGAACATGAGCAGTGAACCAATACGTAGAAATGTCACCAGAATTGTACAGCTAAAACATAACTGCACCGGTAACCACAGAGAGCACAGCACACAGTGCGACTGACATGGTGGTCAGACATATGCCGTTTACATAACTTCCTGAACCAGCTGCTCTCTCTCGCTCTTTCTGTGTGTCTGTCTGTTCAGCAGTGGGAAATGCGGAACTCTAATTTCAGAAAAGGGGAAATGATGAGTTTTAACTGATACTGCTGCACACATCACATCACTCAGTCACATACATATATACATACATTCTTGCAGCAGCAAAAGCACAGAGAAGATCCTCTATTTGTGTAATGTTATCAGGTGTGTGTGTGTGTCTCTGTGTGTGTGCCTGTGTGTACACGTCAAAGTGGTCTCCGAATTTTTGTTAATCACCGGATGTTTCTTAACCACTCTTGACCTCATAGGATTTCCCAGAGTTTCACATGCACGTGTCAAAACACATTAACCCCTGCACACACAGCACGCGTTTAGGACATCACGGTGAATCCTATCAGGTGTAATTCAAGGACAGTCCTCGAAACGGTTAGGACAATCATGTGATAGTCTCTTTCTTTGTCACACACTCTCGATCTCTGTCTTTCTCATGTCGTATTTTGCTTTCTAGTTCTCTGTTTCTGGTCAGAAACAGATTTTGATTTTGAAATGTGGTGAATAGACAGTCCATGATCCAAGCAACGGGATGTTTGTGGATCTGAATCCATGTGAACCCAAGAATTTTCAGAAAAGTTCTCTTAAATTAATTGTTTAGACTGGGAACAGGGGAAAAGAGCTAGCCTAGCCTCTCTAAAGCTTACTAATTAACACGTTATTTCTTGTTTATTAATCCGTACAAAAAATGTACATGTAAATATGACAGTTTGCTGTTTATGAGTTATGTGTCAGGCTATTTCTTGGCAGACAGCAGTTGACAGGCAACCAGCAAAGACTACATAAAGTTATTGCTCAGAGCCAAGAAATAGCTAGGAAATAACAGTATATATAGCAGATATCATGTTTAAATGAGTAAACTTTAAAGGGGCTGGTAGGCAGACTGATCGTTAACTTTCGACAGTGCCAGGTTAACTGCTTCCCCTTGTCCCCTGGCTTTACAGTATGCTAAACTAAGTTAGCCTGCTGCTGGCACTCTTCGAGGGTGGCATTAATCGTCTCTTCTAGGTACAGATAAGGTATACAGCTAAAATGTCTATATTGTCTCATTTTTGTACATCGTTGAGTCCTAAAGTTCAAAATGTGTCAAACAAGAAAATCTGTCTGTGTTGTGAGATCATTTTTCCAATAAAAACCCAAAGATTTCAATTTTCTTGACTCAATTATTGATTTCAGTGCAGCAATCTGCCTTATTCTGTCTTCTTTCACGATAATGACACTGATGCCCTTCAAAATTCCCAAAACATGCTGATCTTTATTAAAATGATATCGACAAAATCTCATTGCACAAGCAGGCTTTTAGGGTTCAATAATAGAGCTTTTTGCAGTGCTTTCTAGTTCTTCCTCTTTGTCTGTTCCTCTTCATCATCATCCCCTCTACTCTCTATACTCGCTCCCCTAATGTGTACAGATACAGATCACAGTATTTTCCTATCAAACAGCCACAGGGCTTCACCGCTGCCTCCTGGTAGCTATGGAAATGGCCTATGGAAATGGAGCAGGAAAAGGTTTGTGTGTGTGTGTGTGTGTGTGTGTGTGTTACCTGGGACATCTGTGGGCGCAGGTTGATCTCTCTCAGGTTGACGGCCTGAGGCAGGAGGTTGTTGAGCAACTGGCAGAGCAGCACGCCATCTCTCAGAGCCTGAGCCAGGTCACACACCTAGAACAGCACACACAAAATTAGACTGAGGAACCAAGACCAGGTGTGTGTTCATGTGCAGGTGTGTGAGTTTGTGTAGCACAGCTGATTTACCTGTGCGCCCTCCCATGTGACCCGGTGGTTATCAGGAAGAACTCTACATTCGATCAACCACACCGCACACTGCCGCCATAACTCCATCTTTTTTTTCTGAACAATAGATGGATAGATGGGATGTGAGACAAGATAGACCATATGCATTCTCGCAGGCACAATATTCAGTAACCAGTAATCACTGTTAATTCCGTACAACGCCCAGTAGCAGTAAAGAAGTTTGTCATTTTTTAAGTTAACACTCTCATAACAATTAGACGTGTTAGCTTCACAAGAAGCCAGTTTTTTTTTTAAATGTAAGAGCATTTGTGGAGTTCACACTGAATAGAAATTAAATGTATTCACAAAACTTCACACATACAAAAAAAACTTTTGCTCCTGCATCACACAAATAAAATAGCCCTAATAATATATATAATAGTGGTCGCACTTTGTCACAATTGAACTTCTCTTTCTCTTAGCAAAGTAGAACCTGGGTGTGGAAATTACTGAAGATTATTCAGTCAGTCTGAGACCAAATCAGTAGCAAATCAGTTGATCTACAGCGAACACTGAGCAGTCACTCTAACTCCGTACTTTCAAAGTAAAATATTAAAATGGCTTTTTTGAAATCCAGAAAATAACAAAAGAAAAAGCCACTGCTCCGCTAGAAAACTTTTACTTTTCTAACTGCATATCAATGTAGGATGAGTTTTACAATCATCTCTCACCTTCAGTTTCTCCTAGCAGTTCTGTGTCTTCTCTCTCGATGTTCACCTCCCTGTCTTCCTTTCATTATCAGACTTCAGTGCTCTCGTTCTGCCTTTCTTCCGTGGTGGGTGTTCTGCAGAGCTGCACTGTGTCGAAGGCTTTTAACTTCATCCCGCAACTTCCTTTTTCCTCTGACGCACCCTCTCACAGTCACACTCACAGATGCACACACTCAAAGCTGCTGCTGCTGCTGCTGCTGCTGCTGCTGCTATGAGTGGTACAAGATGATAAAACCAGAGTGTGATATTTATGTGAAATGGTTTTGTATTGTGTGTACAAGAGATCAGATAGAATATGTATGAGACAGCATGTGTGTATATGACAGATCAAGTTTATCAAAAGAAATGCAAGGTCAACCACAACATTATTTATGCAGCTATCAAACAAACTTCTAATGTGGTAAAGTTACCTTATTTGAGGGAGCTGCATGTTTAGGGTTGTTGGGTTAATATGCAAAATTTAGAGGCATCAAGTTGTCTTCACAAAGATGTTTTATCCACTTTTATGTCTTTAAAATACTGTATGAATCGCACAGTAAAAATAAAGATTAACTCAATGAATAATGGAGCCGCTGCTCAGCACCCAGTGGTGATTTTACTGGGGTGCAAGCACATATTTGGATTCACAACAGGATATCCTACACTCAAAACTCATTCACAACTCAAACAAAAACTCTCAACTATCAACAAAAAGTGCCAACAAGTAGTATTATCAATGCAAGCCATCATTGCACTGATGTGCAACAGAGGAAGTACATTTACATATATAGTGAGTATCTCTATTACACTACAATTAAGAGGAAAATACTTTTTAGTCCACTGCATTATTACGAATGCTGCTAGTTACTTTGCATATTTTACATAAACACATCACTGACAGTATGTAACGTAAAGATATTACCTTTACTGCCACAAATCACCTAAATTACAATGGCAATGCTGTGTTAAGGAGGAATAACCTCTTCTGTTAAATATTTAAAAATGAGCAAATGTGACCCACTGCCATATGCTATGAACCCACAAAGGAGTTCCCCTCTGCCATCTGGTCGTGAGGCGAACCACTGAGGTCATTACACCACCACCACCTCTGCTTCAGCACACAGAAAAACAGAAAAATATAGATATTACTGGGCAGAATTAACAAAATCCCAGAACAAAATGGAAACATATGTAGCCCTGAACAGAAAGTACACTGTAGAAACCTACTTGACTCCAGTGTCTGATATAAAACTGACATGAACACTGACTGAGCAGTGGCAGTGGAGGAAAGCCGGCACAGACAGACTTGGATGCCCAGAGACAAGAGGTTGTGTTCTTGTTGTGAGCAGCTAACAGTTGAGACAGAGCTGTGCTTCCTAACTTAGCACAACTATTAGGAAAGTCCAAGAGACCAGTACTTTACACAATGAATATAAATATTCCCAGAGTTCCTCTGTCTAAGTGACTCGAAGAGACTCCCAGCCTGCCATGAGCTCCACAGCTCCGTGAGCCACCGTTCCCCTATGTCTAATAATTCATGTTCATTAATTAGTAGTTAATTTTTAATTTTTGTTAATTTGTATTAGTCTTACCCACCTTACAAATCCATTTTATTTCCACCCTTTTGTTTTGTTACTGTTTATTATTTATTTTTATGTATTACAAATGTATAGATTGTGTTAATTTGCTTTAGCAACATTGTATTGCACACAGTCGCCAATAAATCCACTTGAACTGATTTACTTCAACACTAGGTGTCAGCCTTATACACATCACCATTTTTCCTGCAAATACTGTATCTTCTGACACTACCTGAACAGACAGATTGCCAGACAAATAACTGTGCATGCATGCCTATCTCTGACTTGACATGTTGACAGCTGCCTAACTGTCTTACTTTTTCATATTCCCCTTCTTGTTTTTCTGAACTCTATCTCTCTCTCATGACAGGCTTCAACCTGCACGCTCCGCCTCCTGAGAGCTCATGCTAAGTCCTGCACTGTGATTTGCTGTTTTCTGTGGGGTACTGTGTGCCCACTGTGCAATCTGATTGGCTATTTGAGTGACCCTGCAGGTTTGAGGGGGAGCGGGCTTCCCACTGCTACCACAAAGAGAAAGTGAGAGACTTAATGAGAGAGGTTACAATTTAGATGAGAGCAGCTGCAAAGAAGGAAAGAAAATACAGGGGAAGTTAGACAAGAAACAGGCATTATGAGATAAAAATATCACAAGGAGAAAGAGAGAAGTGATATCCCTGAGTGCCTCGGTGGATCCTGTAAACAGGTAGGTGTAACATACTGCAGCTGCTGCAAGGCAAACAACGCAAGGGCTTTCTGCTTGTGTGTCTGGTTGGCTGATTTCTAAAAGTAAGCTGATGTCAGTCAGACCACTCTTTCGTTTGTACTTTTCTTAGAAACTTGTACCGATAAAACATGTATAAGCATGTGTGTGTGTGTGCTTGCTGGTATGTAATCAGTATCTCTTCTGCCTTTGCTGTTCAGACATGAATAATCGCTCCATTGCCTGGTGGCTGAGACAGATTGGCCTGTCCCAGTACACCAAGACACTAGAGAGGGAATATTACGGTCTGGAGGTATGTGAATGCGCAACATGCATCTGGATATCTCTTCTTTCTTTTGTTCTTATTTTAATCTTCACAATCCCCAATTTCTCTTTATACCTTTCTCACTCTCCCTCTTCTTGTTTCTCCCCAGGGCTTGCTGAACGTGACGGATAGAGAGCTGAAGGATGCAGGGATAGAGGATGCAACACACAGAGAAACCATCCTCAGCCAACTTTCAAGGCACCGACAGAGACTGGACCCTCACTCTGGTGACACTCAATGGCCACATGCAAGCACACGCACACACACACA